AAAAAACTGGATATAAATAACAGTTAAACTGTTAAATAAAGTCATTATGGATGAAAAATATTAGCAAAAGATCTGCCTATTATCAGCAGAATAGCCAAACAAAACCATATGCACTATTTCACCCTTTCTATATTTCTATTTACAAATATCATATACATTGCATAAAAATATAAACATGCTAATAGCATAATTTGTGATATACTGACAAGGAAAATGTATGACATAAAATATTAGAATAGGTAAATTAAAGAAGTGACTAAACAAAGTTGGATGCCTGAGAAACAAGACAATATTAGTACTGAATTTTAGTGCCTCTTTGTCAGTACCTCGAAAAAAAAGGTCAATGGACAAAACATCTCTCAGTGGAACAGTTACAGAATAAAAATACAGCAATGTGTAAAAAGAAATCCATTAACTTAAGCAGAGTAACCAATGGTTTTAAATAATAAGAAATTGTTTCTTTGCAAAGCATTTACAAAGGCTTAGCATCTGCAAATGGAGCACTGTGTACTGTATTTCACTGGGCAGACCGGAGGGCAAAGAATGCTTGTTTTTCATCAATTTTTCTCCTTCCTTGAAGCTGAATTAATTTATCTAAAGGTGCGTTATAGGATGGAAATGTAAAATGATGGAATGAAAGGTCTGAAGGAAATGCTGTAGGAAACAAGTATGCAGGATGTGCTGTAGTCCTGGCTCCTGATATTCATCATCACAGACGTGGGAAAGAAAAATAAATATTGCTTTTCTTCCTCTCACTTTGCCAGAAGCCACTGGACAGCAACATTAAGCCCTTACTTCAGAAATCAGCGTTCGGCTTCTGGAAAATACCAGGTTTGTTTGAAGTATCGAGAGGCTAAACAAGCCCTAGAGCCCACAAAAGCAAAAGAGCTTATCACTGATTTCAGAACACAGTCCCTTATTACTCCCACTCACAAATCTGTCTTTACCCCAGTAGAATGAAGCCTTGTTTCACGTTGTAAATAGAAAATACCAATTTCTACAAAAGAAGCCCAATATGATGTGTGTGGTATGGTGGCACAGTGGTTGGCTTTGCTACCTTATGGCACCGGGACCCTGGGTTTAATTCTGGACCCGGGGTGCTGTCTGTGTGGAGTTTGCATGTTCTCCCCAGGTTTGTGTGGGTTTCCTCCAGACGCTCTGGTTTCCTCCCACAGTCCAAAGACCTGCTGGTAAGTAAACTGGCCTTGGTGTGTGTGTGTGTCTGTGTCTGTCTGCCTACCCTGAGATGGATCTTGTCCAGGGTGTCTCGTGTCTTGTTCCCGTTGCCTGCTGGGACAGGCTTCCTATACTGGATAAAACAATTCGAACACGGGTGGCCGGAAGAAGCCCAATATCTGATGTTGTAATTCTAAGACTGACCGCTGGAAGGACAGGCTTCTTTTCAGTTAACACTCTAGAAAATACTGCTTTTAAGCCCCATGATATTAATGTGATTGACTCATCGATGGAAATGTAATTATCTTAATTTCCCTAATAAATTTGTATTGGTAAGTAGACGTGCTTTGAAATATCAAGCACTACAGCGACTTATGATACAACGTCATAAGGCCACGGTGCTCTTTTTCCTCCTTGAGTAAGCTGCCAGCTGAGAGGCTCGGTATCGAGCACACGGCCTCGTTTTGTCGAGCGGGCGTGCCTCAGCCTCTATCTACCCAGAGCACAAAGAGAAAGACACAGAGATGTCCTTGGGGAGGCAATAACTCTCATGGGGTCATATGTTCCCCATGTGGGAAGACTGCTGCACTGCCTATCAGACATCTTCTTCTGTCTTTATGGATTGCTATTGTTGAGCACATTGAGCGCCTGTGGGAACGCGAGACTTGTTTGCATTGGCTCAGTAAACAGATCCATCGTGTTATAGTCATGTCAGCAAATGCCTTTCTAGAGCTGTAAAACCAAATATTTTTGTTCCCTTATTTTATAGGTGTATTAAAAACGTTCTGATTTAAAATGATTAAAATGATTTGAGAATTAGAAGGTGAACTTTTCTGCCCTGTGATGGACTGGAGTCCTGTCTTGTCCTGTTGCCTGCTGGGATATGCTCCAGCTCCCCCACGACTGTTTTGGATAAAGCGCTCAGAAAACGGGTGCATGGATTTAAGTTTGAAACTTGGGAGATCACACACCGAGAGTGAAGATGGAAAAGCTTTATCAAGCCTTTTAAATTCTGAAAAAAAAATCACCTGGATCTATAGGTATTTTTATGCCTCTGAATTAAAAATGAAATTGCTAATTAACTTCAATTCATCTTTACGTCTATGGCCCTCACAGTGGAAAAGGGAAAATGCTCCTTTTTAAAGGTCCTTGCTCCTTTTTTTTTCTTGCTCCATTTTAAATAGGCTTTTGTCAGAGTCACCCACTCTGGCTCTGACTCTGCTTTCACCGTTCCAAGTCCCATAGCGATCACAGCAGCGACTGGAGGAGTGGTGTGCTGGCATTGACAATGCTGGAAACGCACAGACACCAGACAGGCCAGAAAGATTCCCGATGTGTGCCGAGGGCACCCCACACCACACCAGACCACCCAAACTAGCCCAGACAAGTTGTGTGGCTCCACTTGGGGAATCCTACCCACCATTTCCTCAAGACATAGTATAGACTCTAATGAGTGAAGCTGGGGGTTCGAATATGGGCATATCTGTAAATACAGAACCCGAAGTAGCTATTGCTAGTATTTTAATTGTTCAAGAAAGCTTCTTCAAAGAACTCGAATGTATGAAGAGTTGGAATCTTATTCTTCACACTCCCGATGAACCGAGTGACTGTCCCCCACACTTACTCCTTTATCCTTTCTACAATGTGAACTTCCAGGTCTGCCCTTTGCGCCAGGCCTCTGAAGTCCTCAAGTGAAATCTCTGCCTTTCAAGTTAAATCCTGCTGAGCATTAAAAGTTCACAATGGTAAAAAGTTCATGTTTCCTTTTAACAAACGCCGCTTTGCAGATTTAGAAGGAGAGCAATCTAAGAGCTTTTTTCAGTATCTTGACCTTACAAGGAGGACGACAAGCCTTCCGTATATTGTTATCCCTCTGGTCTCAAGGGAGCTCTGACATGCCAGTGTCTCTGATGCTGCCAAATCCATGCTTTGTCAGCTCAGAACGTAGGTAATTTCAAAATTTGGGTTTACAATCATGGATAACAGAAGAAATACAAAGAATAAGCATTGTCTACCTTGGTATAAATGTCTAAGATGTCTAAATTTGGTTTGTTCATTTTTTTGACAGAGAGAAAAGCAAAGAAAACACCTGATTCCCTCCTCCTGCTGCTGTTCTCACCTCTGCACACAGCTGGAGAGAGCAAGTGGCTTTGTACACACATATCTAGAGTCCGAGTTTAGAAGTTAGTGCTGACATTTTGTATCAGATCAAAAGGTTTTAGCCTTTGATACAAATTTAAAAAAACAACCTTTTCATTTTCTATTGATTCGCATTGCAAGCATTTCTGTTTATTGTAGTACGATAAATATCTGCAGACTTACACGATGGCTTATGACATACTGTGGAATACCAGTAGAAAGAAAAACATGGTACTTAAAATCTCCATGGTGCTTTGATGACCAGGGTACACCTGCAGTTGCTTACATGTGTGCTTAGCGTTCTCTCAGTTCTGCTTGTGTGCTGTAAAGGGATCCTTTTTGCTCGGTTGTGTCTACTCTGCAATGAGGAATTCCACAAGGACATCACAAACTGACACATGCATAACCTCAAGGTAAGATTTCTCTTTGCAGAAAGATCAGCAGCAGTCGTTTTTTTCCAGAGCTCGTATTCATGAAATCAGCAGCAGTGAGGAACGTCAACAGTTACATCTGTACCCAAGGTGATCGGACTTCACTTTTACTTCTGAGACTTTTCCTGGCTCTTCCCTTCATCAGAAAGGAACTTGCTCCTCACAACGCAAAGGCTTTGGCATGTGTTTAATCCACTGTTCTCGTCACAGGCTGTTTATTTAAATTGTGTTAAGAAATCACAGCGAGTTAGCGTTTCCCCTAAGTAAAAAGAGTGAAGGTCATTTCGGTCTATTTTGACCTTATGGTCAGTCAGATGTTTAGAAAGCATGAAGATGTGTTTGAGGTGTTGTGTGAGTGTGTCTGTGTCAGTAGCATAATAAGACATTGCCTTTTGTAAAGTCATAGTAAGATGTGTTCTGGAATTCTATTCTTTTCTGTTTCAGGACAAAATAAGAAAATTGCTCTGTCAGCTGGCCCTGCTCTACCCATTGGTACAACATCCCTGTTTTTCATTGTGCCCCATTTGTATTCTCCAACATGATTTATTTAGGTTATGGAGGTTTAAAAAAGAAACCACTCTCAGGTGGTGGAAAGAAAAAGTGTTTTTTAAGAGCTTTCATTTGCTCTTTCACTTTAGCTGTGCATTAGAGGCACAGCTTCCTTTCTACTTACAATCTCACCTTGAACAGAACTTACTGTACATCAAATGGATATTTATATATATATAGTATCCTTATACATCATTAATATACTGACCATGACTAAATCTAACTTTATTTTAAAAGTTTTAAAAGGGAATTTTAGTTTTTTTGTCTTAAGGGATTAGGGAAATTTCCGCTTTCA